TATGTAGAAGAGGATAAAGGTCAGGCTGACTGCCTCAATGAATATTTTTTGTTCTGTATTTACAGAAGAAAATGAAGGAAAGGGACCTCAGTTGAGAAAAAGGAGAAATGAGTCATTTATTACACGTGAGTTTACAGAGGAAGAGGTTCTATTTCAACTGTCAAAAGTAAAGACAAATAAGTCAATGGGACCTGATGGAATACACCCTAAGCTATTAAAAGAGCTTAGTGGTGTACTAGCAAAACCATTAACAGATTTATTTAACCAATCATTGTTAACAGGAGTAGTCCCAGAAGATTGGAAGTTAGCGAATATTGTGCCCATTTACAAGAAAGGTAATAGGGAGGAGTCGGGCAACTATAGGCCAGTAAGCCTTACTTCAGTAGTGGGGAAAGGGATGGAAACCATGTTAAAGGATAGGATTGATGAACATCTAAAAACACATGGATTTCAAGATCAGAGACAACATGGCTTTACTTCAGGGAGATCATGCCAAACTAATCTTATTGATTTTTTTGATTGGGTAACTAAAACTATAGATCAGGGTGGTGCAGTAGACATTGCTTACCTAGATTTCAGTAAGGCTTTTGACACTGTAACACATAGAAGGCTTATCAATAAACTGCAATCTTTAAGTTTGGATTCAAATATTGTTGAATGGGTAAGGCAGTGGCTGAGTAACAGGCAACAGAGGGTTGTAGTTAATGGAATATATTCGAAGCTTGGACTTGTCACCAGTGGGGTACCTCAGGGATCTGTACTTGGACCCATTCTCTTTAATATTTGAATTAGTGATATTGCAGAAGGTCTTGATGGTAAGGTATGTCTTTTTGCTGATGATACTAAGATATGTAACAGGGTTGATGTTCCAGGAGGGATAAGCCAAATGGCAAATGAGTTAGGTAAACTAGAAAAATGGTCAGAATTGTGGCAACTGACATTTAATGTGGATAAGTGCAAGATAATGCATCTTGGATGTAAAACCCAAGGGCAGAGTACAGAATATTTGATAGAGTCCTAACCTCAACATCTGAGGAAAGGGATTTAGGGGTGATTATTTCTGATGACTTAAAGGTAGGCAGACAATGTAATAGAGCAGCAGGAAATGCTAGCAGAATGCTTGGTTGTATAGGGAGAGGTATTAGCAGTAGAAAGAGGGAAGTGCTCCCCCTTGCCCCGGAGGCGGGGGGGGGTTGAGGTGGGGACCCGGGACCTGACACCCCATCCCCTACCCTCCCGCACCTTACCCTCACCCGCAATGCCCTCACCCCATTAACCTACACTCCCATCCCACCCGCCCCCCACAACACACGTTAAAATACATGACCAACTGCCGACAGGCTGCCTTGAGAATGCCACCTACACCCGCAGAAACGCCACCTCCCTTACAGGACAGACCATACACCACAGCACCCACAAAGACCCACCATGACCAACACATATCGGACAAGGGATGAACCAACCCAACAAGACTGTCCAAACGCCCAACACCCAAGTACACTACACCATGATACTAGAACCCACCCAACCCTCACAACCCGGGACAGCACCCGCTCGACCAATACACCCCCGACACTAATAGGATCCCCAAACAGACACAGAAAGACACCAACACAGAAGGGACACCCCAACAAGACTACACCCCGACGCATGACACACACACAGCCACCGCCCACACACATCAAAGAACAGCGACTAGCGCAAAGGGGACACCCACAACAAACGCGCACACAGGACAAAAACTACCTGACGGACCCTCGACCCCCAAACGCCCCACTACTTGACAACCACTCCCTACCCCCCACCCCAACGGATCAGTAGAGACGCTCTCAGGAAGCAGGGCTAGACAAGGTCACAGCAGGAGCACTAAAGTTTCTGCCTTATCGCAGTTTATCTGCTTCCCAACACAAACATACCAATTCATAAAATGACTGAATCTGAGTGTTCTCTATAGCTTTCATGTCTAAAACTTGTGAGAATGGCGAAAATATTCTCTTCCTATTTTTCTAAGACTAGTTCCTTCTTGAAAACTGTCAATGCTGAAAGATGTTGCAATGTAGGAATGGAATCAGATGCTCGCTATTGCTTTGTAAAATTGCTCTCTTCACATCAATACTAAAGATACCTTTATACCAAATGAACAATAACTGACATGTACACTATTTTTGCCACCTTCTGTATTGATGCATATAACTTTGTATTGCCAATTGTTATGATGTCAATAAAAGCAAATTGAATAAAAAAAAGAAAAAAAAAAAAAAGAAAGAGGGAAGTGCTCATGCCATTATAAAGAACACTGGTG